GGAAGGGAAGGGAAGGGAAGGGAAGGGAAGGGAAGGGAAGGGAAGGGAAGGGGAAGATGCCTGGCAGAGGATGCAGGGGGAATCTGGTAGCAGAGCACAGCAGAATGTCCCTTCCCTGCTCCAGTCTGCTGCTGCCAGCAATGGCAAGGGATCTTCTGGAGAGAATTCCACAGCCTTCCCCTTTCTCTGGGTGTTCCCGTTCATTTCCACACTTGCTGGTTCTGGTCTCCCTGTGCAGTGACAATCTGCTGTTGTTGTGGGATGGATCCCAACATCTCAGCTTTCCACAAGAGCCATTCCAGTTTTATTGGAGCACAATAGTGTCAAAATCTATTCCTTTGTTTAAACAGAAAACTTCAGGAAATTAACTTAAAACTTGCTTTAAATAGCATTCTGAATATTGCTACCAGCAAGTCCTCAGCTCTGTGTTCACATCTTATTTTTTCCATGCAATTCCTGCCTCACTCAGAGGCTTTTTGCAGGAAGTTAAAGGCACAGAGTGAGCAAGCAGGTGATTACAGCCAGTCTCAGTGTTACAGCAGCTGAATGATGCCCTGGGGAGTTGTATTTTACCCCTGGCAGAACTGTAAAATTCGTTATTTCAATTCTGAGATTACAGACATTGCAAAAGTGTGTTTTCATTTCAAAGCACAATGAAACCAATTGGAAACAGTGAAATTTTCCATGAGGCAGAAACGCTGGATTTTGGCCAGCTCTTGTTGTGACTTCGTTCTCGTGGATGTTTTGGGATGAGCAGTCTAGGCTGTCTAGGAGAAGATTATTAATTCTTCATTTGGAGCTAGCTGTGAGCAACACTTGATTAGTCCAGGATGAACAGTGAAGAGAGGCAAAAATATTTATTAACTGCTGAAGATGTGAGCATTGGGCATCCAGAACACTGAAAGCTGCAGGACTGCATGGAAAAAAGAATGTGCAGTCATGTTGCATCATGGCTTGGGTTTGAAGGAGTAGAAATAAAGTTGCACAGAAAATTCCAGCTGGGATATTCCCATCTTTTAAACATAACCTGAAGAATAATTTAGGTTGCCCAGCCTCAGAGGGGATTTTGAGGGAATTCAGGTCTCCCAGAGCAGCTGGGGCTGCCCCTGGATCCCTGGCAGTGCCCAAGGTCAGGTTGGACAGGGCTCGGAGCAGCCTGGGATGGTGGGAGGTGTCCCTGCCATGGCTGGGGTGGATCTGGGTGAGCTTTAAGTTCCTTCCAACCCAAACCATGCTGGGACTCTCTGATCCTTCAGGAACTTCAAGGATCAGTTGGTCCCTGTGCTTTTTTCCAGACATTCTCTGGGGTTGGTAACCCTGATCCATGGAGGTCTGGGTGAGGAGGGGTTTCCCCTGGTAGAGGGGCACAAGATGCTTCCACAGGCTGGCAGAATTCAGAATTAGTGGCTGTTTATTTTTCATGGTTCAGTGGGTTGTCCAAATTACAACATTTTCACAGTAAATGAGGAGTCTCTGATTTAGGAGGAGGCATCTGTGCAAAATGTACAGTTTCTTGAAAGTGTGGATGTACTAATGCTGTTTAAACAAGTGGTGGGAGAATTCCTAATACAGACCATTTTTTTCCACGGGATTTGCAGTTGTTTGTGTGGCAGAAACCCAAATTACATCACGAGGGAGATACACGATAGAGCCTTACAGTGAGAAATATCAGATAATTTGATGCCTGCTCTGCAAAGAAACAGAAAGCACAACTAATAAATTCACAAATTCTACTACTTTTGGTGGAATGCTGCATAGAAATCATGTTTGCCACAGTGATCTCGCTTGTTGGGTGAGTGGGGCCTGTTCAGATAACACACATTTCAATACAGCCAGGGGGGAATTGTTTGTCTGGAATTGTTTGTCTGGGAATAACGAGGCTGCAGCTGGCACAGTGCAGGCACTGCAAGGAGCACTCCTGCCTGCTGCACACCTCATTGCTGCTGCTTGTGGAGCCAACACTGCCAGGAATGGAGGAATCAGGCCCTAAAAGGACTTTTTTTATTTTTTCATTTGTGTTGGCTCTCACACAGCTTGAGAAGGAGACACTGGGAGGGTGCAGCTCTGGCACAAAGTGATGCAGGCTCCAGCACCTGGTGTTAGATTTCCAGTGGGATCCAGGTTAAAAATCCTTGGCCTCAGGCTGTGGAGGTCACTGTCCTCTCAGAGTGGCAGGAGCAAATGCCACTGCAACCACTGCCAGCACAATCCTGCTCTGAGCAAGGTGCCTGAGCTGGAGATGCTCTGTCAGATAATTCTGATTGATTTAATACAATTAAAATTTGATCATTCTGGTCACAAAAGTGCTGAACACGTGGCTGTTCCAGTGTACCTGAGAGGGCTGGTGCTCCCCTGGGGGAAGCAGAGCTGTACCTGGAGGAGTTGGGGAGGGCTGGGTGTGATGCCCTGGGCAAGCTGGAGCTGCAGCAGTTCTGATCCAGGCAAACTGGACATGAGGAGGCAATGTCACCCCTCCTGTGACACTGCTGAGAGGGGCTCCACCTCAGCAACCTTGCTGGAAATTCAGGAATAGTAGCAAAAAAAAAATCATAAAATTAACCAAGGCTGGCAGAAAAGTGCTGCAGTTGAAAGACATGAATGGTGCAGTCTTTTTAGAATCACAGACAGGAATCAAGAGGGGCTGATTAGTTGTGTCAGGACTTTCAAAAGAAGGAATTGGCTTTTTAGTAAAGAAGAAAAAACCTAGAAGAGCCAGTGCCTGGGAGCAGAAACCCGGAGTAGAAGTACTTTAATTTGAAATGAAGCACAGAGGTTTAAAGCAGTGATTACAAGTTACTGGAACATTTAGGAAAAGCAGGAGATACTCTGCTTTTGGTGTCTTCAGATCAAAACCAGGGGCCTTTCTGGAGGAGCTGCAGCCACAGGGCTGGATTCCAGCACTTGCTGTTGCTGCAGAGGTCAGATTGGTTGGGATTGCTTCTGTTCCTGATGTCCCTGACTGAATGGGAGATCTGTAGGAAGGAGCTGTGGAGCAGAGAGGATGAGAAGAGGCAAAGATGCAGCACTGCTAAACTTGGCTTTTTTGTTGGATTTATTTTTTTAATGCAGGAGAGTTCCAAATCCCTGTGAGCTGCAGGGTGGGGCCAGCTCTCCACAGTGCTAAGGTAAGGTTTCCTTTTCCACCCCTCTGTGTGCACCTTCCCTGCAAGAACACATCCCAGAGCTGCCCCAAGCACAGCCTGAGCAACACTCACACACAGGACTGGAGGAAAAAAAAAAGGGAGATGGGATATAGTGACCTCTGCTTTAGCCAGAAAATTCCAGGATTTACCAGCTGCCATCCCCATCCTTTGAGGTGTCTGTGGAACAGGGCTGCTGGCAGGGAGGCACCAAAAGAAAATGGGGAGAAACACCAAACCAAGCAACTAAACAAAGAAATAAATTCAGCAGCAGCAGTGTGTTTTGTGTATTTGCATTTTGATGCAATCTTTCACTAGGTGATTACATGCTGTTGCTATTTTGGTGTTTACCAGACAACCCATGACTGGGGAAGGTGGTGTCACTCCAAAAGCTGCAAATCAGGGCTGGCTCTTGTCTGGTAAAGAGGGAAGCACTTGGGGCTTGAAGAGAGCGCATCAGCTTGAGAGTCACAAGGCCATAAATTATATTATTGTTCTTGTTGTGATTAAACCTGCCAATTTTTTGCAATTCACATCTGAGATGCAGATAAAATAATCACTCGGCTGAGCAATCGTTCAAGGACACTGTGAGCAGGGTGAGGTAAATTTGGGTTTTAGCAGGGTGAGGTAAATTTGGGTTTTAGCAGGGTGAGTTCCTGCAAGAGACACTAAGGAGGAATTTGCTCCATCTGCACTGGGCAGGGGGCTCAGCTGGAGTTGGGTAAAGCACTGCAAAGGTGGGAGGAGGGTGTTTTGGCAGGGACTCTGCTCTGGGCACAATGTGGGAGAGGGAAAAAGGGGAAATGTTTTTGGAGGGGGAATTGTCTGTGAATCATGGAATATCCTCATTTGGAAGGGATCCACGAGGGTCATCAGCCCCAGCCCTGCACAGCCCCCATAGCAGTCCCCCCTGTGCAGTGTCCAAACGCTGCTCCTGGAGCTCGGGGAGCCTTGGGGAGCCTGTTCAGTGCACCAGCACCATTTGGGGGAAGAAACTTCCCCCAAAATCCAGCCTGAGCCCACTGGCCCAGCCCCAGCCACTCCCTGGGCGCTGTCCCAGGAGCAGAGCTCGGAGCTGCACACTGCTCTGAGCAGGATCAGGTATTTGCTGAATTCTGAAAGGTCTGCTGATGCCTGAGAGGCTGCACCAAGCTCCCTGGCCAGAGGGCAGGGCAGCAGTGTCCATCCAGCTTCCTCAGGGCTGTGTAGGACAGGGAGGTGTTTGTGCAGACACATGACCTCACCCTCCCGATGACTGACCTGCCATACCAACAGGTCTCACTGCTTGGTTTCCAAGCAAGAACCTCCTCTAGGGTTGATATGATTTAGCTGTCTCTAAGAGCTTTTTTCTCTGACTCCTCAGGGTGACCCAGCTCAGCGAGGGCAGTTAGAGGAAGCCGCTTTCCAATTGCAGCAGATTTTCCGAATTGATATTTCCATTGCATTGAATATCCTCGGTAACGTGCAGTTGGTTTTGTTTTGCCCTTAAACCACAGGTTTCTCATTTTGGAGGACCTCCAAATGGTTGCAGGTCTTGTGAGAAGGCAGGGATGGCAAATACCCAAGCTGAAGCCTCCTTTCAGCAATTTTAACAGTACTTGGAGAGATTTATTGCCCTTTGTCCCATCCTGCCACCTGATTTATCTCAGCATATTTCAATCCAGGCTTGCTTGAAGCCTGCACTGTTGTCCTGACATCTGTAGTTGGAAATTAAGCCATCTCTGTCTTTTTTGCAACACAAGATGTCATATCCTTGTATCCTTCTTTTATTGTCTGAGCTCACAGTTTCCCTGGCAAGCTGAAAAAGCAATTGCAGGATTGCAACTCTAAGAAAAGCAGAAGGAAGATGCAATGAGCTAAGAAAAGTCCCTGCCCTATATACACCACTAGTTGCAGCACTGAAAAGCAAGTTGTTTCTGTGTGAGCCATACGTTGTGTTAGCCTGTGATCCCTCTCTGCCACGAGCCCAGAAAAATCCCTAAAATGCAGCGTTGCCATTTTTCTCACGGAAGCTGTGGAGTGAGGGGTGAGCCAGCTGGAAGTGGCCCAGAGCACTTGGCTTGAGCCAAGGAAGGCCCAGTGGCTGTGGGGGAGGTTGCTGCATTGGAGGCTGGGTTGTGGCTCTGTGCTTTGCCCTGTTTCCCGTGGTTTTAGGCTGTGTTTTCCGCAGGCATCGAGAGCATGAGGGCGGGGCACAGCCGGGTGGCCTTCACCTGCTTCAGGCTGGCAGCGGATCGGGGCTACAGCAAAGCCCAGTTCAACGTGGGGCTGTGCTACGAGCACGGCAGGGGCACGGAAAAGGACTTGGAAAAGGTATCCAGGGCCTGGGGGGTGGCTGTGGGCAGCACACATCAGGAGAGGGAGCTGTGCTTGGAGCTTTGTTCCTTGGACGTGGCTGTGAGAGTCATGGTGTGTCCTGAGCTGGAGGGAGCCCACAGGGATCACTGATCCAGCTCCTGGTCCTGCACAGCCATCCCAACAATCCCCCCTGGGCACCCCTGGGAACGCTGTCCAAGCACTCCTGGAGCTCCAGCAGCCTCGGGGCTGTGCCCATTCCCTGGGGAGCCCTGGCAGTGCCCAGGCTCTGAAGACTCAGTAGAAAGTGCTGGGAGTAATAAAAATTGCAGCTATGCAGAGCTGCTTTCAGTGCCACCAGTCCCCTCAGAGAGGTGCTGGAGATCTCTTTCCCACAGCTTCTGAGGGTTCTCCAGGTGCACAGGCTGTGCTACCAGCACCCAGCGGGGTTCCAAGGAGAAACCTGTCATGTTGCTGTATTTAAGACACCACTGCACATCCCAGGGCTTCTCACATCTCCAGTTTGGCTCCTGTAACTCCAGCCTGCCATCTAGTGCAAGCTGGCCAGCAGCTGCTGGAGCTTGGGAAGAGCTGCAAAGGTTGGTTTGAGTCATGGTTGGCCCAGGGCCACCCCCTTCAGCTCGGGGAGTTGGAGTGGAGCAGGCAGGGGGGTTCCAGGGCTGTGGGGCACTCACAATCCGCTGTCTCAGCTGAGGCAGCTGATGTTCTGGTGTGGGAGGGCTCTGGGGAGGGATGCTGCTTGTGATGGGTCTAGACAGAGAGGTTAAGCTTGAAGGGAGCCATGTCATGTTGAGGGCAGGCATTACCTGGATTTCTCTCTCTCTCAGGCAGGTTTTTATTACTGCCAGGCAGCCAGCAGCCGTCACCCCATGGCCCAGTACCGCTACGCCAGGTACCTGCTCCAGCACGGCCCTGGCAGCCTCTGGGACAGGAATCACAAGGCTGTGGCACTCCTGGAGCAAGCAGCAGGGGCTGGCATCACAGAGGTTGGTGTCCACAGTCAGAGAGAGCAGCAGAGAGCCCTGACGGGAGCGTTGGAGCCACATCCTAGAAAGCAGCGTCTGTGGCACTGGAAGGAAAAGCCTTCCAAGGGGTTTATCCCTGCTCACAGCAGGGAAACTGGAGGATCTTTAAGGTCCCTTCTGACCCAAAGCATTCTCTGATTCTGTTTCTGTTGCTGGCAGTGTCTGGGAGTCAGCCCTGCCTGCAGAAGGAGCCACTGTGCCACACCGTGGCTGTCTGTTGTTAACGGGGCTCTAACATGAAACCTTTGGCTTGGCAGAGCTGACCTGTGCCAGAAAACACAGCTCAGGTTTCATCTCCTTTCAATTCCAAGAGTACAGGTCACTGTACTGGAGGAACTTCAGTGCTTGAAGCAAGAACAGATCCTCATTTTGTATCTGTGACTTTCTGAGATGACTCATCTGCTCAGACCTGTGTCTCCTGCCCTCCTCTCCCACTGCAGAGATGCATTTAGGCATGTGCCACCTCATCCTGGGAGTGCCAGGCTGGCAGTGCCCGTGCCTCCCAGAGCTCACTGGCCAGGGCTGCATCTGCTGGATCTTGGGGACACGAGTGGGAGCCATTCCCTGCCTCTGACTCCCACAGGGAGTTTGAAATGATGCTCTGGGTGTCAAATGTCATTTCTTTGTGTTTACTGTGTCATGCTGATTTTTCTTAGGGCAGCCTTGCATCTCCCAAGAGCCCCTGAACAGGCAGGGTCCTCACCACACTGCCACAGCAATGCCAGCATTTGAGGAGCTTGAAAAAATAGCAAAAAACCCCAAATAATTAAAGTCCTGGCTGATCTGGACCATGTGGTTTTGTTGCAGGCACAGGCTTATCTTGGAGTGTTCTACATGAGGGGGCTTCAGCCCCAGGAGGAGAGAGGTCTGAAGTACCTGCTGCAGGCAGCAAACAGTGGGGTAAGGAATCCTTCTGCCAGGATTGTCCTCAGCTTGGGATCTGCAGGTGGAAGATTCTGGGGGATTTTGGGAATGGGAGAAAGTGTTGGGATTTTACTGCCCAGTGTGAAGGGACAGAGTGGAGCCTCTTGGAGAGGAGATGGGCCCTGGGCACAGACCCTACAGAGACAGCCCTGTTGGGCTGGAGCAGTTCCCACAGCACCAGTGCCTGTTTCCAGCTTCCAGAATTGCACAGGTTTCCCATCATGGAGCATCTACACCCTCTTCAGTCAAAATCTTTCACTACTGCATCACTTGGAGAACTTTGTTGTGTTTATCTCAGATCTGTTCTTCAAAATTGGCCCCATGTTTCTGTCCTTCTGTAGAGAGGATGGAAAAACTCATTTCTGGATTTATTTTTTAATCTGGGCACCTTTAACATATTTAAACACTTGAATCTCCATTCAGCCTTCCCCCATTGTTGCTGTTTCTCTTCACAGGTCATGTTAGATCCCCAAGAATCTTCTTGCTTGCACTTTCCCCGAGTGGCCCAGGCTTCTCTTTCTTGAAGGGCAGTGCCCCAATGTGGGCACAGCACTCCCCTGAACCCCCACCAGCATTTAGAGGAGAAGTGTGGATCCCATGTCTTGGCAGCCAGGTTTCTGCATCCCACAGTTCTGTTTCTTTCCATTGTCCCCTTGTTTGCAGCTGCATTGTAATGGCCAGGAGGTTTTTTGGTTTGTTTTTTTTTTTCCCCTGAAGAACTCGTTCATTTTAACTTCAGTTCTCACAGCTTTTGTGCAGTGGGAAATAATGAATAGCTGTTGCCTGTTCTGCTGGCTAATAGTTGTGGTTGTGGTGCCCTTTAGTGTGTCCTCTCTGAGTCATTTCTTTTGCAGGCTGCAGAGTGCTGTTTCAGTTTGTGTCTTCGTGTAGTTAAGCTGTTCTACTTTGCTTGTCAGTCTTCTGTCTATTTTTCTAATTCTCCTTTGACCATTTTAAGATGCTTGGACTAAAAGTGGACTCAGGATGGAGGTATGCCATGGATCTCACATAATGAGCTCCTCTGCTTTGTTCTGCATTCCCTTCCAATAATTCCTAGCCCTGCTTGCCCTTTGCCTGGCACTGAGCAGTGATGAGATGGTCTCAGGGAACTATCACAGTGTGAGACCCAAATTTCTTGCTTTCAGCCCTACTTTGAACTTGGCAATACTGTTTCCTTTGTGATTGTGTTGCTGACTCCTTAGTTGTGTGAGATCTGCTGTAATTAATTCTTTATAGTAGGTTTGACCATTTGGAATGGTGTGACATCATTGTAAACTTTGCCACTTGGGTTCCTACCCTCTTCCCAGCATGGAGACGCTCTCAGGCTGCTGGGACAAGGCCTGACTTGCCCCAGCAGCTCAGACATCGCAGTGCACAGTGTTTAATTCTCAATCTGCTAAAGATCTCTCCTAAGCTTCATCCTTGGCTCCTTTTTGTCCAGCCTGGAGTCAGAGGTTTATGCTGAACATGGATTTATCCCATTAAATAGATGGTTGGCATTTACTGGTAATGCCTGAACAACACCAAAGCTGTCAGGTGACTGCAGGTCCTCAGGTGCACCCCTGGCATGTTTTGGTCAGAGTTCTCAGGCCCCAAGCATCTTTTCCCCTCTCTGCTGCTCCATGGATGCTCCAGGGCCTCAGCCTTGAGGGCAGGCTGATGGTGCAGGGTTCATCCCTGGCATGTACCCATTTTCCTGGGAGAAAGGCTTCATGGACAGCTTCACTTCCCATTACCCTGGAGTTGGAATTTATGTTTAGTTGGCTGAAAGAAAGCTGGGTGTGGATGAAGCAAGGATAGCACTGTTTAGTACAAATCCAAAGAAAAGGGAAACAGCACAAAAAGTCAGGGATTCAGCATTTCTCTGGCTGTTCTCTCTGCTAGAACCTGGCTGGGAACTCTGACAAGTGTTTTTCCAACACAAGAACCATCTTCTGCTTCGTTTCCCACTTTCTGTCCTCCCTGATTTCCTAAGTGCAGCCCCAGAATATAAACCCCTATTAAAGAGTTCTGTTGGAGAACTGAGTCTGACCTCCAGATTTCCGAGAGTGTCACAGTCACTCCTGCCATGCTAATTTGGGGATCTCCCCTCGCTGCAGTCTTGGCTCTGAGGTGTTCATGCTGTGAGAGATGGTGGTGCAGTTCTCCTGATTGAACCCTATCTCTTGTCACAGCTGAAGTGCCAATCCTTCAACGTGTTTATCTCATCTCCAAAGGACTTTATTGCTGTCATAAACTGAGACTTGCAACATTTTGCAAAGCACCCACTCACTGAATTCTTCACTTGCCTCTACCAGCTACATCCCAGACAGCAACACTTGCAATATGTTCTTTTCTCATGGCTTTATTAAAACTTGCTACTTACTTGGGGTTTTTGTTTCTTTTTCTTCCTTCTTTCCTTTTTTTTTATTTATTTTTTTTCCCAAGGCCTCGTTTAGATCATGTTTCTGGCAGTCACTTTCTTCAGGTTGTGCTGCTGGCTTTGTTTCTGGAAAGGTCTGTGTGACCACGAGTCTGTGCAGTCTTGAATGTCTTCAGGAGTGTCATCCTGCTTTCCTGCTCTCTGAGCCCCTTTGCCTCCCACTGGATCTCAGAGATAAAGTGCACAGCTGACACATAAACATGTCATGGGTTTGGATTTGGCTTCACTGCAGTGCCAGCCTTTGATTTCCAGTTCATTCCCAGCAGTTAGATACATCTGAGTGGTTCAGGTGCTTTTTTTCTAGTGCATATTTGCTTCATTTACTTCATTTCTGCTGCCTGAGATTTCTTCTGGAATAGAACAAAGCGGGGCTGAGCAGGAGAGTGCTGCACTCTTGTGTTAAAGGGGAATTTCCCAACCCTTGGCAGCAAGTACCTCTGTTCAATTTGTGATGTTTTTACAAGACTTGGGCTTGAACTCTCCTGGGGCAGTCTCAGGGCGTGCTCGGAGTTTGGGTGGGATCAGGATGTGGCGCAGTCGGGGCTGCCCAAGACACCTCAGCCCTGACCTCTGAGACAACTGGGATGCTCTGCAGAGCCAGCTGCTCCTTTGTTCCCCTGCCACAGCCCTGGGTGTTGAAGGGAAATCAGTGAATTTAATTGGAAAGGGATAGGAAGGAGCAGAGCCGGAGATTCTGCTTCTCTCCAGGGGCCTCAATTACTGAAGATCCAGACTGAGGGACAGAGCCCTAAACTTAAGAAGGTGACCAAAGATAGAGCAGTAAACTCTGAAGAAGGTGCTAAAGACTCTCTGTTTCCTTCCCTGTGCTGATTGCTGTGCCAGGATGCCCAGAGCAGGTTCCACGTGGGTGTGTGCCACGAGCAGGGCCTGGGGGTGCAGCAGAACGTGGCGGAAGCGCTGCGGCACTACCGGCAGTCGGCGGCCGCGGGGAACAGACAGGCCCAGGACAGGCTGCGGGCATGGCAGCAGGAGCTGCGAGGTACAGGGCACCAGGGGGCTGCACGGGGAGGTGACCCCATGGAAATGGGGCCTGTGGTGCCAGAGGGGGGGTGAAACAGGGCCATGGCACAAAGGGAGTTCTTTGTGCGAAGGGAAGGCACCGCGTTTCCTTCTCGGTTCTTCCCAGCCCAGCTGCAGAAGCTGTTCCCGTAGTATGATGTGTCACAGAATCATTCTGCTGTGTCCTGGGGGACACCAGGCCCAGCATCAGCAGCTGGGCCAGGAGGGGATTGTCCTGCTCTGCTCTGCACTGGGGCAGCCTCACCTCCAGTCCTGCAGGCAGCTTTGGGCACCACAGTATAAAAAAGACATGAAACCATTAGAGAGTGTCCAAAGGATGCCACGAGGATGGGGAAGGGTCTGGAGGGGAAGTCTTGTGAGGAGCAGCTGAGGGCACTTAGTTTGTTCAGCTGGAGGAGGCTGAGGGCAGAGCTCATTGTGGTTTTCAATGCCCCTCCTAAAGGGCAGCACAGGGCCAGCTCCAGTATCTGCTCCCTGTGACCCTCCTGTGAGGAGGGAGTGGCTGGAGCTGTGCCAGGGGAGGTTCAGGTTGGATTCCAGGAAAAGGTTTTTCACCCAGAGAGTGGTTGAGCAGTGGAACAAGCTCCCCAGGGCAGTGGGTACAGCCCCAAAGCTATCTGAGTTCAAGAAGCATTTAGACAATGGTCTCAGGGATGGGGTGGGATTGTTGGGGTGTCTGTGCAGGGCCAGGAGCTGGACTGGATTATCCTTAGGGGTCCCTTCCAGCTCAGGGTATTCTGTCATTCTCTGGTTGTATGATCAAGTCCAGCCTTTGCCAGTGTCATTAACACCTTGTTTTTCTGTCCTTTCAGATGTGCACACAAAGCATCCATTCCCTTCAGGATTAAGAGCCTCCTCCTCCAGCCCCAATTTCTGGACTATTGAGCCTGTGTCTGCAGGTCAGCCAGGACAGTGTGGCCTGACCCTGCCCCACTCGTGGAGCACAGGCAGGCTGCACGTGATGCTGCTCAGCAGTGCAGGGTGGAGCCGTGCCCTCAGAGCCAGGACAGTGCCACTGGAGCTGCAGGGCTGGGAGCCCCAGCACTGCTGGCCCTAGAGCAGGCAGAGGGCAAGGCAGCCCTTGGTGTGGGCTGGAACCAGGCTGGCAGTGAATGGAAAGAGAAAGCTCTCTGTTTCATGCAACAGGAGTGGCATTTTTAAATGCCTGAGGTTTAAGAATAAACTTTGTGATATCTCCTACACTACCAAGTCCTCTGGTCCTCTTTCCTTGCTCACAGGGATGTTACTTCTGCAGCTGCATTTCTGCATTAGAGCCAAGCTGGGGCTGCCCCTGGATCCCTGGCAGTGCCCAAGGCCAGGCTGGAGAGGGCTGGAGCAGCCTGGGACAGTGGGAGGTGTCCCTGCCATGGCTGGGGTGGAACAGGATGAGCTTCAAGGTCCTTCCAGCCCAAACCATTCTGTGGTTCTGCAGCACAGTGGTGTGATCTGGGCTTCTAATTCCTGCATGTCTTGCTTGTGGTCCCCCAGGGAGGTTCACAAGCCACTGTTTGGGGATGTTGGCAACTAAGCCTGGGGCTGTCCTGGCCCTCAGCCTCTGAGGCAATTTTCTCTCTCTCCAAGGCCAGTCCCCACAGTGCCCCTGCTACCAGCACAGTGTGGGCTGGCTCTGTGTCACCATTCTGGCAGTTTAATCTGCTTTCAAAGCTGGGCAAGCCAGAGAGTGAATTGTCATCATTAGGGCACAGTTTTGATGGGATGTGACAGATCCAGCTGTAGCAGTGAGGTGGCAGCTGTCCCCAGCCATCCTGCACCGTGTCCTGTGCCCGCTCCTGCAGCCCTGGCAGGGAGCTGCTCCCACGAGCACACCTCTGTGAGACACAGCAAGCAAGGTTTGCTTCAAAATCCATCCTGCCCCTGTTTGTGAGCACGCCAGCTCGTTTGCAGCAGAGTGGATAAGGGATGCTCCCAGTGGGAAGGCACCACTGGCAGGCAGCAGCAGCAGGCAGCTGGTGTGATAATTTCTTCCACTGGGGCAGCTGAATCCGGAAAAAGGCATTTGTTCACACCAGTTTAAACTGGTTCAAGGGCATCTGTGCAAACTGCCCAGCTTCCTGTGGCTCTGGTGCTCTGTGTAGGTCGGGCTCTGCAAAACAAAGGCAATGGCCCTGTCCTGAACTTCTCCATGCAGCAAGGGAGGGGCACAGCCAGCCCTCAACACATCTGATTGTTCTTCTGGTCTGCTCTCTCCTTCTGCTCAGACCAAACTTTCTTAGACCATTTCCTTTATGAAGCAGGATACAAGGAGCAGGAAATTCCTGGGGTGGATTTCCTATGCTGTGATAATCCAGAGCGTGCTTACGCATCGGTCAGGATGGGAGAGGGGCTGGGGGGGGCTGAAAGCAGTTTGCAGAATCAGGAAATTGAACCAAGAGGGAGGAATTAGTCTCCTTTTAAACCTGCTTGTTATAAGGTATTTTTGTGTAAGGATTGTCCTCTAACAGGGACATCAAAGCAACTTTGCAGAGGGAGATGTGAGGCTGTGCCAGGTGTTTGTCCCACTGCCTGTGCTCCCAAGGTGCAGAGGAATCCCACAGGGCTCAGTCATGAGCCATCAAATGCCTCCCTCATGGCTTGCACAGCTGCATCTCAGCTAGAATCTGGCTCTCTGACATTGTTTTGGTGCAAGAACCTGTTTTGTTTGTAAAACAAACCAGCAAGAGATTTGTGTTAGCAGAGCAGCAGCACGAGCAGGCCAGGCCAAACCCATCCGTGGATGGATGCCAGACATGGGCTCATCTGCACAAGCATTTTGGAGACTTGAAAGAAAACAGAACATTTTGGATATTAAAAAGTCCACCTGGGGAAATCACACTCTGTTGCTCTTGTCATCTAGTCCCAGGAGCAACAGAAAGGGGGAACTTCCTCATTTACTCTGCTTTAAACAATCTGTGTGATTGTCTGGTGCCGTGGCTCGGGTGTGTACACACCTAAAGCTGGGAGCTCTCACCTCCAGGTGCACTGGAAAGAGCAGGGGTAGTTCTGAGATGGTCCAGGAGAGCCCAGAAGCCCTTCCCTGCCATCCCCAGGCTGCTGCATGAGCCTGTGGGTCAGCACTGCCCTTTCCTCCTGCAGGAAGGCACAAACACCTGTGTGCTTCTTCCTTTGTCGCCATAGCTTGGTTCCTCCCACCCATGCTATTATCCCAAAACTGTCTTACAGCTCCCAGACAGACAGATCAAAGTGAAAACCCAGAGAAAGGGTGAAGCTTGTGACTGAATATTTCAAAACAATGTTCTCACACTTCCCTTTTCCCTGGTTACCTTTGGCAGACTCGAGCCATCTGGTGTCTGCTTTTGGATAAGGACTGTGCTCCAAAATCCAACAGCCTCAAAGGACAGAACAGACTAGAATGGAATTGTTAAGGTTGGAAAAGACCTCTGAGATCACCAAGTCCAACTTGTGATTGATCCCCACCTTGTCACTCAGCCCACAGCACTGCGTACATCCAGTCCTTCTGGAGAAGGAAGCTGTGGGCACTTGGAGCAGCCACAGGAGAGATGCCAGTGCTGATTTTGGGGGCTTTTACAAAATGCCAAGTTCCCAGTGGCAGAACCACAGAAGCTGGAAGGACCTGTGGGAGACAACAGGCACATCTCCCCCAGCTGCCACTTCAGGCTTTCTGCACATCTTTAATGTCAGCTACACTGCTGACAGAGAGGGTAGTGTTAGAAAAAGATTGGTTTTATTTAAATTACTGAAACCCTGGAGCCCAGCTGCAGCAGTGTCCGTGAGAGGTATTTCCACAGCCTGTGATCACATATCTCCCTGTGCTGTGGTTGTTCTCAGCCCCCTTGTCCTGTCCTGGGAGGAAAGGGCCCTCCTGCTGCTGGGTGGGACGGGAGGCTGGCAGAGGAGGAGGGTGAGGACGGGCAGGTGAAACAGGTGAAATCAGTCGTGGAGAAATCCCACGGGCGAGGCAAAGGAAGAAATAAACCTGGCTAAGCATGGCTCCTACAGTGCCAAGCCCACCCCAAACCCCTTTCCTGTTCTCCCCCAGCTACAGCCCTGGAGCAGCATGCCCCAGGCCGTGGCTGCGGGCCGACAGCTGCCGCAGCAGCCCCGCGCCCGTCTGGCCGTGCTCCTGCGCCTTCTGGGACAGGATCAGCTCAAACAGGGTGCTCATCTCCGACAGGAAGGTGCTGGCCAGCCTCGTCCCGCTGCCACCAGCGTCAGCCCCAGAGCCTTTGCCAAAGGTCTCAAAGGTCCTGGGTTTCTCCTGCCTCGCAGCATCCTCATCCTCGGGGCAGCGCGGCGAGTCGGGGGAGAAGACGTTGTCCTTGTAGCTGCTGGTGAGGGGCAGCGACAGCCGGGCCACCCACGCTGGGTCTGCAGCTGTCAGCCTCCTGAGGGCCAGCTCTGGGGAGGGACAGCACAGAACAGGGGGGGAAAAATACATTAATAAAAATATTGATAAGTGAAAATATCTAAAATTGACCGAGAGGAACGAGTGTAAACGCATCACCAGCGATGCTGTGCAAAGCAGCAGCTAAAAAAAGCCAAACAAACTAGAACTGGTTTGAAACTATTGGGGGTTTTGTTTTGTTTTTAATATAATAACCATTAGAATCGCTGTGCATTCTCATTTGTTGCAGTCTCAATTGGCACTTCACTAAATTGTTAGCAAAGCCTGAGAGAGGGAGGCTTTAGGACTGGCCAAAGGGGAGCAGACAATGAAAAGCTTTCCAGGGGGAAGTGTTGGACACGAAGATAGTGGACTTCCCTTCAGGGTCACTCCAGGGTGGGAATTTGCTGCTAAGGAGGCAGATTGAGACCGAAAAGAAATGAGTTCTTGTGAAAACAATAATAGCAGAATGAAATTGTGGATTATAAAATGCACAGCTGGATGGTTGGAGTCTGGGACCGAACAATTGAGCACTAAAGTAGTTGTTCCTCGATTGGAAACAGCTGAGGAGCAGGGGGAGCCTGGGCTGGGGGCTGGGGCACGCTCGTTAGTGCACCACTAATTTGATTGTGGCCCAAAATGGGCAACTGGAATCACACAGAGGATTGGTCAGGGCATTCCCTGCTGGCAGGGAGGCACAGCCAGCGTGGATTGTTACTGGCTCTGATTAGGGGAATTACACACAAATCTGATTATCCGTCTGTGGGAGAGGGAGCTGAAACGACACCGGCAGGGAAAACTGGGGAGATGAAACCAGGAGCGATGCAGGCTGACACAATGGAGACCCCAAGAGCCGGGGGTTGCTGCTCCTGAGGAAGCAAGGAGCTCTCCAGGGATCTGACTGCAACCTGTCGTTTTGCTGAGGAGATAAGCGCCAGCAGAGGAAATCTTTATGCTTAAAATAGCGTTGGCAAGAGAAGAAGTGATTATAGCTGTCCATGAATAAACATCTCCTGGAAAATAAAGGAAGGACCCCGTAGCAGGGAGAGCCTGGAATAGCTTCCCCGTCAGACAGCAGGAAGGGGAACAGGGATTCTTGTTTTTTGAGGTGGCTGGTAAACAAGAGTCCATGCTGTGGTGCACAGAGGCTGCATTCCAGCCCCTCATTGTTCCTTCCCAAAGCACATCCCAGAACCTCAGGGGGGTTCAGAGCAACCGCCCGGTTTAGGAAAGGTCTTGGGAGCAGCAGAACCTCGCTGGTAACAAAGCCCAGCAGTCCCAGGGTGGCAAGGGCTGGTGTCACTGTGGTAATAATTGTGTGGTGCTGATTAAAAAGTGGCATCTGAAAGGAGGGTCCCCATTCCAGTGCTCTTATCCTGCAGGTTCCAGAGGGTGATCAGCACCCTGCCACAGCTGGGACCTGCCTGGGGTCTGCAGCCAGTGGCTGACACAAGGCTCCTTCCCCAGCCTGCAATCGCTCCTTGTTCTCCAGAGAACCCCCTGGGATGGGCTGGGGGTGAGAGCTGGGACTCCAGCCTGGCAAGGAGAGAAGGGCAGCTACATCCCTTAGATTTTTGTTTCAGCTGGAGCCCAAAATTCCTTGTGTGTTGCTTCACATGCAGGGTTTCTTTCTGCAATCTCGGTATTTGAGTCGCAGTGCCCGTTCCTGGAGACATCACCCCAGTGTGCTGCGGGTTTTGCTGTAAAACATGCAGTTTTCTCCTCCTCAGTCTGCAAGAAGCCACTTCATTCCCTGAATATTTGGCTGCTCAGCTCTGGAGCAGGGCTCAAGCGGTCTGCTCTCTGCAGGGAGAGCTGGGCTGACGGTCCCGTGGCCATGAAAACCTCATAATTAGGGATGTTTAATTTGACCAATAACTCTTTACTGCCTTGTTTTAATGGTGTTTGGGGAGCAGGGGTTGTTTTTATCATCCATAAAGTTCTATCTCTCATCTGCTGCTGGGAGTGCTGTGCTGGGGGATCAGAGCTAACAGACGGTGCTGGGAGTTCATCCCGCAGCATCAACAATCCCAGAGCTGCCTGGGATTGCAGTCCCCCCGCTGGGAACGGCACAAAGGCCCAGCCAAGCCTCAGCCAGCTGTTAGGATGCTCCTGAGCACCAGCAGTGCTTCCTTCCTCCCTCTCAGGATGCAAGTCCACAGCTCTGTTTGTGTTTGGGAGAGGAGGAAGGAGCCCGGCAGCTCCAGCGGCTGCACTCGGCCGCCTTTGAGGGAAGGTCTGGGTTCCTGGGGAGGGTTTGGCAGGTCTGAGCTCCTGGGGAGGGTTTGGGAGGTCTGGGCTCCTGGGGAAGGTTTGGCAGGTCTGAGCTCCTGGGGAGGGTTTGGCAGGTCTGGGCTCCTGGGGAGGGTTTGGCAGGTCTGAGCTCCTGGGGAAGGTTTGGCAGGTCTGGGCTCCTGGGGAAGGTTTGGAAGGCCTGGAAGAGAGCAGTCTCTTTGGGCATTCCAGCAGGAATCCACACAGCCTCAGCATTCCCTGCTGGCACAGAGCAGGCTGCCCAGGGAAGCGGTGGGATCATCATCCCGGGAATGGGGACGTGGCCTGGGGATGGGTCAGTGCTGGGCACGGCAGTGCTGGGGGAACAATGGGCTCTGAGGGCTTTTCCAGCCCTAATGATCCTATGGAATTCCAGGACTTCAGCCAAAAGGGTTTTTGTCCTGTCAGATCCAAGAACCACAGGAGATGGCACTTCATGGATCAGCCTCACCATAGCCCAGATTTTCCATCGTTGTGTGGGCAGGACTGGATCCAGAGGTCCCTTTTCTGGGATCAGGACATGTCAGATCACCTGGGATGGAGCTGGGCTCCCCTCTGCTCCCTGCTCCTGGCTGCAGGACCTTGGAATCCGAGGAAACTTTTAGGTCTCAGCCTTTCCTTCGTTTGCTCCTTACTGGAATAAAAGAGCAGGGAGGCAAAGGGGGAGAAGCAGCAGGTGCTGTCCCTAAGGAAGAGCACCAAAAATGCCCAGCTCTGGAATTCAAACCACCCCAGTAGCAAAGCTCAATGAGTTTCTCTTCTGTGGAGGAGCACAGAGGCTCCACAATGAAATTTCTGCTACAGGACATGAGTCAGCCCAACTCTTTCAAATTGAAATGCCAGGAGAGGAGATTTTTAGAACAAATCAATAAAAGGAACATGTAGAAAATGTCAGGCCCAGATGGTATTCACCCCGGAGTGCCAGAGGAACTCAGATATGAAATTGCCTGGTTTATTAGCTGCTGTTCATTAACTACTGCTCCAAATGAATGCGGGATCAGAGCTGGGGGAGGTGGAAATGGTGACAGGAGTTTTTAAGCGAGTGAAGGTGAATCCAGCCCAGGCAGATTCAGAGAAATCCTTCTGTGCAAGGCTCAGCAGAGAGCCATGGAGCTGCTACTCCCAGGGGAACCCCCTGACATTGTCACACAATTGTCTTCTGGAAATTTGGAAGGGCTGGATGGAGAGCCCTGGATGACTTTGGACAAGGGCTGGAGGCACAGGACACAGGGAATGGCAGGGCTGGATGGGATCTTGGGCAGGAATTGTTCCCTGGCAGGGTGGGCAGGCCCTGGCACAGGGTGCCCAGAGCAGCTGGGGCTGCCCCTGGATCCCTGGCAGTGCCCAAGGCCAGGCTGGACATTGGGGCTTGGAGCAGCCTGGGATGGTGGGAGGTGTCCTTGCCATGGCAGGGGTGGCACTGGATGATTTTTAAGGTCCCTTTCAACCCAAACACTTCCAGAATTCAATTCTGTGAAGGCAGAGGTCACCTGAGCTGGTGGAACAGCAGCAGCCAGGCTTGCAGGGGACCTGAGCCGTGCCTGAATTTACAGCCAGGATCCATAGGGACTAATATGTGTTAAAAGCTGGGAAGTGAGGCTAGGAATAATTAATCTTCCTCACCAAGGGAGGTCATTAGCAGAGTCCCACTGCTCAACACAGTGATAAATGACATGGAAAGGGGACAATGTTGGTGTTGACTCCACTAAAACACCCAAAAGCAGAGGGTTGCTGAAGGACCTGATAATGCTGAGTGCCATGAGCCAAAGGTGGCTGGTGAATTTCTGTGTCACCAACTTGTCCCAGGGAACAATGACCTGTCATGTGCTGATGGCTCTCCCTCCACGCAGAGGAGGGATTGGGGAGTCACAACAAACAGGGCTCAGTGTTGGGCAGGACAGGAATGAGGAACAAACCAGAAAAGCTCCTCAGACCCCCAGTGCATCCTAAAGACTGTGCACAGTTCTGGTCACTTGTCTCAAAAAAGATAAAATTAGCAGCAGGTTGGTCACAGGACACGAAAAGGAGAGAGGAACCTGACGGGGTCTGAGGGTAGGTAACATCTTGGGGGGTTTGACAAGGACAAGTGTCCACCTTTCTCACTCTGCAAGGACCAGGAGAGCACGAAGGGAGGGCTCAGGCCAGAGTGGGAAGCAGCTCAGCAGCTGCAATGTGAAACTCACCCCTCAGCAATAACAGAGACCGAGCTCACACATCACTGAACCCTAAACAACAGCAGACACGTCCGTGGGAGGGAAGAACACCCATAAACACGTGGAAAAATCCAACATGAAGCTCTCAGCAAGTCCCTTGGTACCCAAAGCCTGGGAGGGTCCAGACACGCTGCCCCGAGCACTGCCCTGGCCAGAGCCTCCCCGGGAGCTGCGATGTGCCCGGGCTGTGCAGGCCAGCTGCACCTCCTGGGGGGGTGAGTGTGGCTTTCCTGGGGAGATCCCGCTGCTGGAGACCCCCAACCCCCCCCGTCCCAGCAGCGAGGTGGCCTCACCTGCCTGTGGCTCCAGGAGGGTCTCCAGCTCCTCTCCCACGAGCTGCTGCACGGAGAGCTCGAAGGCGCTGTCGCAGTCGCGGTCCCCGGCTTCGCTCTCGCCGTGCCCGCTGTCCTTGGTGCTCAGGCAGTCCGTGTCCAGCCCCGTGTCCAGCCCCGTGTCCAGCCCCGTGTCCAGCCCCGCAGCCCTGCCGGGGTCACAACACCCAGGTCACTCCAGCCCCCAGCACAGCCCCAAGGAGCCCTTGGTGGTGTCTCGGTGTCCCCAGAATGCCCCAGAGAGGGGCTGTGGGCACCCATGCATGGCTCTCAGAAGCGAAGGCATTTTCAGTGCCCATCAGTTAATGAGTTTGGGGGGTTTGCTCCCCATTTCTTGCCTGGAAGGGTTTTTATCCTTCTGCAGAAAGATCTTAGAACCACAGGAGGGTTGGGAGGGACTTAAAGCCCATCTCATTCCACCCCCTGCCGTGGGCAGGGACACCCTCCACAATCACAGGTTGTTCCAAGCCCTGTCCAACCTGGTCTGGAACAATTCCAGGGATCCAGGGGCATATCCTGAGCAAACAGGGGCCTGCTGGCTCCTCCCCATGAATGCAGAGGAGCTTCCCTCCTGCAGGACCAGGTAAGGAGCACCCCAGAAAGCCAGAGCTGCTCTTCCTCCTTCTCCACCCTCTGCAGCTGCAGGTGAGAAAGGTGGAGAAAGCTGTGGCTGCCCATGGCCCGGCCAGGTGGGGACAGGGGATGTGGCAAGGCAGTGATGAATACTCAGGAGTGTGCACCTAGGACACACAGCACAATTTAATGGGAACACCCTGAAGTTTGGGGATATCTTTGGCACACAGCTGGGATATCTCAGTGTTTCCAGCCCTGCTGCAGGTCCTCACTCATCTAATGCCTGGCAGGGTCAGGTGTCCCAAACTCATGTTGACAGGCACCAAGAAAATGCTCAGAGCCATGGGAACACTCATCCTTGTGCTGCTGCCTCCAGAGCTGGGCCCCTCTGTGCTCCTGAGCACCCAGAACCATCGGAGGTCTTGGCAAGGGATGGTTCATGGCCATGGAGGAGCTCAGGTGAGTATGGAGGGACTGCCAAAGGTGCCCCAGGAAGGAAGCAAAGAGCAGCTGGATACCACTAGGAGCCAGGACCAGAGGAGCACAACCAGGCCCTGAAGGGAGGACCTCCAATCTGAGGGGGATGAGGCTTTTCCTTGTGTGTCTCTGCCCTGGTGTCTCCTGCCCTCGGAAGTTTTGGACTGGTGGGGCTGGAGCAGGGGAAGGGGGCGTGGGGAAGGGAAGTGCTGGGAGCCAGCCTTACCTGCTGCCGTTCTTGGCCGTGTACTTGTTTCCCCTGTAGTTTGTTTTGGGCTGGAACTGGCCCTGGTGCAGCAGGGAGAGCAGCTGGGAGATTTGCTGCAAGGCAGGAAAAGCCTGTTGAGCCCCGGGCTGGCCACTCAAGCTGCTTCCTGCCAGGACATCCCTCCGAGCCCCCCGGCCTTTTTATAGCGTTTCCTCCTGCTGCAGATGGCTCAGCATCCCCACACCGGGGGAAAAACAAGCCCTGGCCAGCCCACCTGGGCCTTGAGCTTCCCCTGCACCCTCCTGCTGTTCCTGCTGTTACGGGATTGTCCCCTTGTCCCTGTGACAGCCCCGCTCCCACACGTCCTGCTGGGGTGACATGTTCATCCCACCCAGGCTACTGAGGCATCACTGCCCCGGCCCGGGGGAAGAGACCAACCAAAGACCATCAGGTCACACATTCCCACCACCCCAGGGTGGGCAAGGCCCAGGCAAGGAAGGATTGTGAGTGTCCACGCTCTGGGAATGGCTGGAGCAGCTCCTACCTGCACTGGGGGCGACTCCATGGCAAACTCCCCTGTCGGGCTCTGCTCCGCCAGGGCCACCAGCGACAGCCGGACCAGGCTCCTGAGGATCTGCTGGTGGGGCTGGGGCTGCTCGGGGGGCACCTGGGGCTCTCCCGTGGGTGGCTTCAGCAGAGGTGCCTCGGTGGGGCTCGCAGCCTCCTTCCCTGCGTGTTTGGGTCTGTGGGGCTGGCAGGGCCGGCGCTGCAGGATGGGCAGCTCGAAGGCGCCCTGCTGCTCCTCCGAGTCTCTGGGTGTCCTCTGATTTCTCAGGGTCCTGTAGAGAGTGGGGGTGAGGTGGAGGGGAGCCGGTGGGGTGGCGGGGGCGGCCGTGCCAGGCTGCTCCTGCTGGTGGGGCCGGGGGGGCTCAGGCTCCCGGGGGCGGCCGCGGAGCAGCGGCACCAGGTGGATGTCGGCCTTCTGGATCTGCCTGTGCGGCTTCTTGAGCTGCTGCTGCCTGCGGGCGTCCTCGGCCTCCCGGCAGTTGTAGGCCATGCCGTCCTTCTTGTCCTTCTTGCGCAGGGACAGGGTCAGGGCCAGCAGCAGCAGGCAGGCGCCCAGCAGAGCGGCCAGGCAGATCACGAGCACCACGGACAGGCTCGGCCAGCCGGGATCCCGCGCTGACATCTTGGAGAAGGCCCCGTGATGCCGGAAAACCAAGCGGAGCCGGGCCAGGGTGTGCAGGGGGGTGTCCCCCTGGTCGCTCACCCGGACCAGCAGCTCCCGCTGGCTGCCGGCCAGGCTGCTGGCGTTGCTGGTGTTGAGGGACACCTGCCCCAGGAGGGGGTCCAGGATGAAGAGCCCGCTATCATCCCCCCCCAGCAGCTCATACCGGAGAGCCCCATTGACGCCGGAGTCCACGTCCCTGGCCATGATGGTGAAGAGGAAGGGGCTGCCAGGGCACGACACGAGTGTGGAATTGGTCACTGCTGCAGCCCCTTGAGCGCTCCCGTTCCCAGGGACCACCCAGCAGCACCCGGTGTCCACATTGACCAGGACGGAGAGCGTGGCCACCCCTCCCACCAGCGCTGGCATGGTGATGATGGGTGCGTTGTCATTCCGGTCGAGCACAGCCAGCCTGATGGAGATGTTGGATGCCAGCTTGGGATGCCCTCCATCCTCCGCTGTCACCAGGAACTCCAGGCTCCTCACCTGCTCGTAATCAAAAGCTTGGAGGGCAAAAACATCCCCAGTGACGGGGTCAACTGAGACCAGCCCCAAAGCAGAGGGGTCCAGGATCCTGTAGGTGACTTTCCCATTGAAGCCCAGGTCAGGGTCGGTGGCACGGACAGTGAGCAGGAAGGCAGGGGCTTCACTGTTCTCAGCAACAGCACCCTCGTAGGCAGCCTTCTCGAAGGCCGGGGCATTGTCGTTGACGTCGCTGATGCAGATGGTGAGGTGTTTCAGCACGGCCAGGGACAGGTCCCCCATGTCCCGCACCACCAGCGTCAGGTTGTACTCGGCACGCCGCTCGCGGTCCAGCGAGGCGTTGGTCAGCAGCGCGAAGCTGTGGCTGTTGGTCCTCTTCAGCCTGAAGTGCTCGTACCCCTGGCTGAGGGAGCAGAGCACCTGCCCATTGCTTCCCGAGTCGGGGTCGCTGGCTGTCACCAGGGCCACAAAGCTGTCCTTGGGGAGGGCCTCGGACAGCACGGGCACCCGCGCGGCCCAGGTGACGTGGACATCGGGAGCGTTGTCGTTGACGTCCAGGACCTTGACCAGGACCTTGCAGTGCGCCGGGATGGGGTTGGCACCCAGGTCCCGTGCCTGCACATCCAGCTCGTAGGCGTGGGTCTCCTCGTAGTCCAGAGGGAGCCTCAGGAGGATGCTGCCCGTGCGGGCGTCGATGCTGAAGGTGCTCAGCACCTCGGGGGGTGCGTGCCTGCTCAGGCTGTACTCGATCTCCCCGTTGGGACCCTGGTCGGGGTCGGTGGCCGTGACCGTCACCAGGAGGGTCCCGGGCTGGGTGTCCTCCCGAACCTCCACCGTCAGGGAGCTCTCTGCAAACACGGGGCTGTTGTCGTTGGAGTCGAGGACAATGACTTTAATCAAAGCAGTACCTGATTTCGGTGGCTCCCCGTGATCAGTGGCCGTCAGCACGAGGTCGAAGGAGGAGTGCAGCTCCCGGTCCACCTCCTTAACCACGACGAGCTCCGCGTGCCTCGTCCCGTCGGAGCCGGAGACGACCTCCAGAGCAAAGTGCTCACTGGGGGAGAGGGCATAGGAGCAGCGAGCGTTGGGGCCGGCATCAGCATCCAGGGCTCGATCCAGCGGGATCCGAGTCCGCAGGGACGCGCTCTCTGAGATCTCCAGCTCCAGCTCGGGCGTGGGGAAGCGCGGCGCGTTGTCGTTGACGTCCACCACCTGAACCTCCACGTGGATCAGGGCCGGGTTCTGGGCTGCCAGCACGTCGAAGGACACCCAGCAGGGATCGGAGTGGCGGCACAGCTGCTCCCTGTCCACGCGCCCGGCCGTGCTCAGCACCCCGTCCCCGCTGCCCACACGCAGCGGGAACCTCCCGGGGGTCTCCATCAGCTGGAAGGTCTCGGCCGCCTCACCGCTCTCGCCGCCCTCGAAGTGCTCGGCCAGGCTCCCTATGACGGTCCCCGGGGGCACCTCCTCCAGCACCCGGTACTGCACCGTGAACGTGGCCACCTCCTGGGCATCGGCGCTCAGGAACAGGTACCACCACCAGAGCGCCGGCAGCTGCAGCGCCGAGCGGCTCAGCCCCAGCACGCTGCCGGCAGAGCCCCCGCGGCCCCGCCGCGCTGCCATGGGCTGTCCCGCCGGCCACCGCATCCCCGGAGAGTCCTCAGGGCCACCGCAGCGCCTCGCCATCCTCTCCCATCTCCGAGCGCCGCGGACTCCAGCCAGAGCTTGGAAAGGAGGGGGAATGACGAGCGGGGCTGGTGGCTGCTCCCAGCGCTGCCATCACCGGGAGCCCCCCGGGCCGGGACAGCCCGGAGCGGAGGGACCGTGCCCGGAGCAGCCCCCGGCCGGCTGGCCGGGCTGGGGATGGAGCGGCCGAGATCCTATGGAAACCCCACCTACAGGAAAAGGGAGGACCGGGCCGGTACAATGCCGGGGCGGGGTGCGGCGGCCCAGCTGCGAGAGGGTGTGGAAGTGTCCCCCGATCCCGGCCTGGGGGCACCGTCACCGCTGCCACCTGCCCAGAAGGTGGGATTCCTGCAGCCCCTGACCCATCACAAACCTCTCGTGCTTCAGGAAGAGGTGATGAGCTTCTGCTCCTGCCCTGACCCAAAGCCTTGTTCCCCACGCTTTTACATCTCAGACTTTGGCACATTCTCGTTTTGCCTAAATTCCAGTGCAATCCCAGCTCTGTGCTCTGCACGAGTCCCCTTTCCCAGCACAAAGGTGATGGATGATGTCACCAGTTCCAGCTGGACACACCAAAATGAGCTGATGAATCAGCAGGAGCGTGGCCACATCACCCAGAGCCAGGAGGGTGCGAGGGAAGGAGGGAGGCGCTGGCAGACACGACCTGTGTCCGTTCAGGCCTCTCCCCATCCCTGCATCTGTCTGTCCTGGCTGCTCCCTGTCTCGGCATGTGCTCCATCCCAGCTTGGCTCAGCACTGATTTCCCTGGCATCACTCCTGCTCCATCAAATCCCTTCTTGGCCTTATTTCAGCCCCGAGCCCCCACAGTCAGGCTGCCCAGCTGCTGCAGCAGTATCACCACAGCTGGCCAGCTGTGCACACACAGGGAGCGCAGCCTGAAGGTGTTCCATGGATTCCTCCTGAGCCTGCAGAGCCCCCAGACCCCAGGCTGGGTTTGCTTCAGTCTCGAGGTGACTGAAGGCATTCAGGACAGGGAAGGTCATGTGGGATTTCTCCTTGGCTGTTACAGAGCATCCTCAAGGTCTGGTTGGAGCCTCACCAGCCACTTCATCTCTGTGTGACCACACCTTCCAGGCAGCCTCCAGCAGCCTTCTGCATCCTGCGCCCACCTCACTCTCTCCTCCTGCTTTTCCAGCCTTGACAGGCACCCCTTGTCCCCCCAACCTATTCCCATCCCTCCCAGCTCCCCTCACCGCTCTGCTTTTCCCAGGTGAGGCTCCTGCATCCCTGCTCTCTTCACTTTTTTTTGTCATGGTGAATTTTGATGCCCCAAAGAGCAGCAAAGCCGAAGCCCCCAGTGCCAGGGGCTGTCCCCTCAGCCCAGCAGGAGGAAGGGCCAGAGCCCTGCTGCTAATCCTGGGCTCAGCCCCAGCTCCAGGTGACCTTTGCCAGGTCATTTCCCTGCTTTGTGCTCGCGCTTCCTCCTGGAATCATCTCCCGGAGGGATGATCCCGCTGCCCGCGGAGCTCCGGCTGGAGAAGCGGATGTCTCCCAGCCCATGCCCGATTTTGGGAGGGGAGGTGGGAAGGCCACTTCCTTCTGCTGGGACTCTTATCCCTCCAGCTCCCGGTTTGTGTAATGCTTTTCCTTGTCAGGAATGGAGGGGAACAGAAGAACCGTGCTGGAACATCGCAAGGGAAAGGAAATCAGTGATACCCCCTGAGGTGATACCTTCAGGGGGTTCCCCGAGGAGCCCGGAGCTCCTTCTCCCATCACCTCCCAGTCCAACTGCACAACAAACCAGTCTTCCCCAGGGCCCCGTGTTTAACCCATCACTGACACCACAGGAGGTGAATCCCCCCGACTCCAGACCCCGCTTGCTGCCGTCCCCACCCCTCAGCTGGGAGGATTCCAAACCTCCAAACCACTCATTTTTCTCCCCAAAGACAGGGACCAGGTGGGATTTTGAGCACCAGTTTGCTCAGGGAAAGGCTGGGAGTAGTCACAGTCACTGAGCACTGTTCCCAGTCTGGCTGTACAGATCCCAGCACTGGTGACAGGTCTGGCCTGCCCAGGAGGAGCTGGAGGAGCTCCTGCATGAATTATTTATGGTTCTTCAGGAAGAAATCCCTACAGACCAGGCCTGTGACCCCCAGCCATCAGAACATTCCCAGCTGGCAGGAGGATGCTGCAAAAGCATGGCTGAGCTGCAAACCACTGCCGTGGAGGGAGATGGACAAAGTAATGCTGCAAGAAAATAGGAAAGAAAAATGGGGTCGAGCTGGGACTTGCCAGAAGCACAGGCAGGGAAATGAGATCTGGTGCTAGAAACAAAATGTGTCTCCTCCTGTTTCCTGTTCACACCCCAGCTGGCTCCCGACGTGCTTCAGGACCTCCGTGGACACCGTGGTGGTGATGAACACAAAATTCCCCCTCTAAGGTTTAGCCTGCACCTGAACCCTTTAATTTAAAGCTCAGAAGGAGCCTCAGCTACACTCAACCCCCACAGCGCTTCGTACATTCACTGTGTGCAGTGCTTCCTTCAGCTCAGGGGCTGTCAGTGCCCAGAGCAGCTGGAAATGCCATTCCCCGGAGTGCAAACCCGGCTCCAGCTGCTCTCCAGGCTCCAGAGCAGGACAGGGCACACCCTGAGCTCCCAGGGGTGCCGAGCTGTGCTGGAGGCACCGCTCTCCCTGTCCATCACCTGGCAGAGAGCAGCGCCACCAGGTTATTTCGAGCTCCGCTGCACAGCTGGAGATCTTCAAACTTTGTCATTTTGGGCTGCCACGGTGTTAGCCTGGGAGCAGGAGCTGTGCCATGGCACAGCAGGGAGCGGAGGGCAGCTGGAAATGAGAGTGAAGAGGCTTTTTCAAACCTAATCGCTTTCTCTGATGAGAACAGGCTGAGAGCTGGGGATGTTTGCCCAGACAAGAGGAGGCTCCAGGCAGACCTTAAAGCCCCTCCAGTGCCCGAGGCTGCCGGAGCTCCAGGAGGGTTTGGCCAGCGCTGCCAGGGATGCCAGGCTGGGATTGCCGGGGTGTCTGTGCAGGGCCAGGGGCTGGACAGGACCATTGTTGTGGGTCCCTTCCAACTGCGGATATTCCGCGATTCTCTGAATTTCCAGCCCTTCAAAGACAGCCTTTGCTCCTCTAGGAGTGTCACTGCCTTTTCAGCAGACGGCAAATCCCTCCCTGAGCATGAGGTGTGTGAGGTGCAGCTGCACAAGGCAGCTCAGAACCTTCCCCGTGCTCAGCTGCCTGCAGGGACCTGCGAGGCTCCCGGGGGGAGGAGGAAGGACGCGATTCCCCCTCTCACACCAGGCACACAGCCCTGTAAGAGGTGACAAGACCTTCCCTTGGGGTGCTCCGGCTCTCCCTGAGCTCATCTCCGTAAAACCGGCAGGTGACACCGGCCGCAGGTGACATCCCGGTGCCACCTGCTCCATCACCATCACCGGGTGTCCTTGCGGGCTCCTCCAGCGGTGCCTTCCCGGAGCTCCCGGTGCCTGCGCTGTGCAGTTGGATCGCTCCACCACGAGAGCCCACTGCTGCTCCGCGCTCCGCTCCTCCTGTCCCCGCCTGGCCCGAGCGGCCGGGGGTGCCGAGCCCCCCAAAGTGTCCCCGGGGAGCGGCTGCGAGCGCGCTGCCCCCCGCGCACGGTGCCCCCGCCAGCCTGCGGGGAGGCTCCGGGGATGCTGCAGCTGCTTCCCCTCCATCCCCCGCGGGTGCTCTGGGTGCCTTCCTCAGTCTGGCACGGGTTTCGGGTGTTTCCCTGGGTTTTACATAATTTTAGGGTGTTTCCCTGGGTTTTACACAGGTTTAGGGTTTTGCACACTTTCCGGGTGATTTTCCCGGATTGTACACGATTTTAGGGTGTTTCCCCCGCTTTTGCACACTTTCTGGCTGTTTCCCTGGGTTTCACACGATTTTAGGGTGTTTCCCTGGGTTTTACACGATTTTAGGCAACTTTCCAGCATCACAAGCAGAGTCTCCCCCCAAACCCCGCTGTGCCCCCCCAACCCTTTCTCTGGGGGTGTTTTAACCGTGTCCCCCTCCTGCAAGGCAACACCTGAATTAGGAGGGAAATAAAAGGGGGTGCAGGCAATCCCTGATGAGGACAGTGTTCATTATTGATGCAGCAGCTCCTGAAAGCTTCCCCAGGCAAAAAAAAACTGGTTTTGAGCAAAGTAGCTCCTGCCTGCCAGGCTCCAGGAGCTGCCCTGCACAGAGGGGACGATAAGGAGAGTTATTGTTGCTCCGTGCTCATAAAAGGATTAGTATTAAGGAGGGGAAGAAAGTTATAAGTGAAGTAAATTGGGCCAGGCTGGGTGTTTGAATAGAGAGGAATAATGTTATGGTAATGTCATGCACGGCTCTGCTGCTCCAGGACCCTGACGTGTTTTATAAAAGCCAATTCTGTGAGCACAGAGAGGGAGAGCTGGCCAAAGAGAAATGAGGAGAAGCTGTAAAAACGATGTTTTATTGTGTGGGAGAAAGCAATGAGTTGAGATCTAACCCTTGATGTCCTTCTGGAGGAGAAAGCTGGCAGCATATTGCCGCTCGCTTGTATGATTTAATTTGCTATTCTAAGTCTTACAGTAATTTCTTTCCTGTGCTCCAAAAGCTTGTATCTAAATTTCTGTTTGCAAATGAAAGACATGGAAGAACTCCCCAAGGCTTCAGTGCTGGATCTTTGCAGAGTGTGGATGGGGCTGCTGGCAGGATGGGGTCACCCAGCAGGATGGGCAGCACCTTTCACTGCCAGCTCGGTTTGATTTCAGTTTGACAACCCAAAACACCTGAACAGCAACCCGGGCTGGCTTCCCTGCACCTCACAGGGTAAGTGATGGATCCGGGCCACGGCACACTGTGACATAAATCAGACCTTTACGAGTCCCCAGCGGCTGCAAATCAATAAGTGCCAGCAATAATTACCCATTTTGTCTTGCTCTTTATTAATATTTAGACGTTTTTAATCTTTTCTCTCTAAACACGATGTTTCCCTGCTGTGGGTGTCCTTCAGAGGGAGCTGCCAGGAAA